CCGAAGGAAAGGCCAAGGCTGCCGGCTTTCCTTGGGCTGACCCTGGAAACAGAGCCATCCTCCGCTTCCAAGATTGGCCCAAGGAAAGGCCGAGGCTGCCAGCTTTCCCTGGGCCGACCCTGCAAATGGAACCATCCTCCGCTTCCAGGATCGGCCCAAGGAAAGGCCGAGGCTGCTGGCTTTCCTTGGGCCGACCCTGGAAACGGAGCTGTCCTCCGCTTCCAGGATCAGCCGAAGGAAAGGCATTCCAGGATCGGCCGAAGGAAAGCACTCGTAAGTAGAGGTACCACTGTACAGGGTTCAAATGATGATCTGCATGTCAAAAGAAAAGAACCTTTTGAGAGACTAAAACATGGAATTTAGAGATCTCCTCCCACACATTGCTTGTTCCATGGTGACAGGTCATACACTCAATCAGAGGTCATTCAGCAGGATAGATGCAAATGGGGATAATCAGACCCTTTCAATTAATATATGAAAGCACAGAGAGGGAAGTAGGAGTGAAGGTATCCCATTCACACATTCAAAGAGTCAGTTCACTCAGGAAATCTCAGATGACTTTTTTAACAAATGTGGTTAAGCTATACTGCTAGAGTCCATGTTATCTGAAAAACAGTATTCTCCTATATGAGTCTGCCTGGGCTTTGAGATTTTAAGGGGAGCCCTTATCTACCTCATCTGGTACTTCGGTGGTACAGGATAAGGCCTTCTTGGTGGTTGTTCCCAGACTATGGAAATTTCAGTGGCAGGTAAATCCTTTTTTTTCTTTCAACATGCCTTTGTGACCTCCCTCTTTATGTGGAAAAGACTTATACCTTCTTTGCGACTTTTTAATGGAAATGTTTTTAAATTCCTTTGAATTCTGTTGACAATTTAACTTTTATTGTTTTTAGTGATGTGACCTTTTATCTGTTTTTGATTTGGAGGGAAAAGAATATTGTATATATGATTTTTTTAAAAAAATAGATTATATCTGCTGCCATCACTCCAGCCACATGCTCTGAATCAGTGCAAAAGAGTGTAAGTGTGCAAATGTGTAGTGTACACAGCACTCCATCACATGAGTGGGAGTCTCCCTGTGGGTAGAAGCCCTGGGTATTTACTGTCCCTTTACATCGATGCCAGCCAAATATGGGGGAAAGAGCATCTCTAGATGGGCTGCTGCTACTTTTCCCCCCCATCACACCTTTGTGAATATGTTGGGGGGGTGCACAAACCCTTTGGGGGATTAAACAACTGCATGTTTATGCATGGTTAGGAAACCTAGTGTGTTTTTATTTTTTAAAAATCCCAACTACAGAGCTGAGAGGCGGAGTACCTTTTTAGATGCAGTTCCCAGAATCCTTCAGCCTATTAAGGCTGTTGAATATGCAGGAAAGCTCTTTTCCACTTTTGCAATGAACATATGGAGGATTAGGGCACACTATCCTCTGTCCTCTCCCCACACCTGCCGAACACTGTTTAACATATTAAAAGAGCAGGTGCTCCATAACAGGCCCTATTAACTATTTTGCATTACTGTTATTATTATCATTATTACTATTACTACTACTACTACAGCTGCTATATTTATTTGTATCCTACTTTCCCCCCAAAACTGCCACTCAGAGCAGATTACAATTTGGAAGAACATTACAATTAAAAGCTTACAAAAGTGAGGCAAGTACAACACCCCAGTCCGTTCTTTAAAGACTTTCTGTTTTAAAAGCCTGTCTAAATAAAAAGGTTTCAGGTTGCTGACAGAAGGAAAATAAGAAATTGGGAAGGGAGTTCCAGAGTCTAGAGCAGCCATGGAAAAAGCCCTGTCTTGCGTCCCCACCAGCCATGCTTGTGATGGTGGTAGGACTGAGAGAAGGGACTCTCTTGAGGATCTCAGAGTCCAGACCAGTTCATACAGGGACATACAGTCAGTTGAATAATCTAGATCTGGACCATATAGGGCTTTATGGGTCACAACCAGCACTTTGAATTGTGCCTGGATACAAACTAGCAGCTAGTGGAGCTGTTTGAACAGGCTGTAGAATTAGAAAAACAGAGTTGGTCAATCAAATGATTTAAAAATAAAATAAGAGTTTATAGCACCCACTCCTGCATAGGTCTATGCCGAAGTAATCGTTCGGCTGATTTGCCAGCTACGCCCCTTCCTGGAAGTAAGGGATCTTGACACTGTGGTGCACGCGCTGGTAACCTCGCGTCTGGATTTCTGTAATGCGCTCTACATGGGGCTACCCTTGTGCTTGGTCCGGAAACTGCAACTGGTACAGAATATGGCAGCCAGAGTAGTATCTGAAACATCAAGGAGGGACCATATTACTCTGAAGATGCCAGCCACAGATGCTGGCGAAACGTCAGAAAGAAACTCTTCTAGAACATGGCCACACAGCCCGAAAAACCCACAAAAAACTATGGATGCCGGCCATGAAAGCCTGCGACTTCGTATTATTATTATTATATTATTATTATTAAGAAGCTACTGGCAGAACAGAATATGGAGAAACAAAATGGTTCCCAATTGGCAAAGGGGTTACGCAAGGCTCCATCCTATCACCTTTATTTGTTCAACTTGTATGCAGAAAATATCATATAAAGAGCAAGTTTAAACTCAGAAGAAGGAGGAGTAAAGATAGGAGGAAGGAAAATCAACAATGTAAGTTGTTTGGATGACACTATTCTACTAGCAGAAAACATTACAGACTTTGCACAATTATTAAGGAAGGTTAAAGAAGAAAGTGGAAATATGATGTGTTTATATATATATATATATATATATATATATATGGGATTAGTTAATTGCTGAGAACACTTTTGAGATAGGATGTGATTAATTTGTTGCCTTATAAGGTAAAATGTGTATATTAATACTCATATAATGTTGTTGTTTTTTAAAGTGCAAAGGCAGGCTTAATGCTGAACATAAAGAAAGCAATAATAATGACCATGGAAGAATTACAGAAATTCAACCTAGACAATGAGGAAATCAAAATAGTTTTAAAAAAACTCCAACACTGTTTGCCTTAAAGTCATTTCCGACTTGTGGCAACCCTAAGGCCAACCTATCATGAAGTTTTCATGGCAAGGTTTGTTCAGAGGAGGTTTGTCATTCATTGCCTTCTCTTGAGGGTGAGAGAGTGTGACTTGCCCAAGGTGATCCAGTGAGTTTCATGGCTGAGCTGGGATTCGAACGCTGGTCTCCAGAGTGGTAGGCCAACACTCAAACCTCCATGCCACCCTGGCTCTCATTGCACACACAAAATTTTCACAAGAAAATGCAAAACCATGTCTAATATGTCTGCCAAGTTTGAAGTGCACAGAATCAGAGTCAAGGGGAGGGCTAATAATGACTTCTCCTATTCATTATCATTCCACCATCCTTAATTATTAAGATTCTTAGGTCCAGAATACACTGCAGAAATAATCCAGTTTGAAACCACTTTAACTGCCCTGGCTCAATGCTAAGGAATCCTGGGAACTGTAGTTTTGTGAGACATTGAGCCTTCTCTGTCAGAGAGCTCTGGTGCCACAATAAACTACAGTTCCCAGGATTCCCTAGCACTGAGCCAGGGCAGTTAAAGCGGTCTCAAACTGGATTATTTCTGCGGTGTGTTTTGGACCTTTGAAGCACAATGTGTACTTAAAAGGTGCCACATGCCTCCGAGGTTGCGGCCACACGGTAGAATTAATGCAGTTCGACACCGCTTTAACTGCCATGGCTCCATGCTATGGAATCATGGGATTTGTAGTCTGTTGTGGCACCAGAGCTCTCTAAAAGAGAAGGGTCCAAAACACACCGCAGAAATAATCCAGTTTGAGACCGCTTTAACTGCCCTGGCTCAGAGCTAGGGAATCATGGGAACTGTAGTTTACTGTGGCACCAGAGCTCTCTGACAGAGAAGGCTAAATGTTTTACAAAAGAAGTGGAATATATATAGATATACAGCATATTTCCACTTCTTTAACCTTCCTTAACAGTTCCCAAAATTCCCTAGCATGGAGCCAGGGCAGTTAAAGCGGTCTCATAGCGCATGAATTCCCTCAGGGCTACCGTTGTTTAACGACCAACCGTTCAGTCACTCACCTCCGTCAACAGTGAGCCTAGCGCCAGACGCCTCAGCTTTCCTACTAGGCTTCCGCGTGGCGTCCCTGGCACGAACTGCATTCTGGGAGTTGTAGTTTACAGGGCGGGCGGCTCTGAGGCCTCTTTCAGGGAAGGAGGGAAATGGAGGCCTAGCTCCCTCAAGGGGCCATAAATCTCTCGCCCTTGAGGGGCTCCTTCTGGGCTCAAATTTTGCAGGGTGACCAGAGGTCCTCACCTCAGAGGAGGACAAGGCACCGCAAAATGTAGGCCAGGGTTAGGCAACCTTTCCCCTTTAAGGGCCGAGGGACTTCAGCTCCCAGAAGCCTCAGCCATGTTGGCCAATAGTCCCATGTTGGCCAATAGCTCCTGGGAGTCTGGGAGCTGAAGTCCCTCGGCCCTTAAAGGGGAAAGGTTGCCTACCCCTGATGTAGGCCGTTCGAGGAGAATGGAGGGTATGACCACATAAAAAGCCACAAATAAGCATAGAAATGTAAACCCATGCTTCTTAGGCCCTGCTCAAAATGGAGGACATGGCTCAATAAAAGACACAAACAAGCATAAAAATGTAAACCCATGCTTCTTAGGCCCTGCTAAAAATGGAAGACATGACCCACTAAAATCTACAAACAAGCATAGAAGTGTAAATATATGCTTCTTAGGCCCTGCTCAAAATGAAGGACATGACTCAATAATTAAGCTAGAAACACTCATAGAAATGTAAATATATGCTTCTTAGGTCCTGCTCAAAATGGAAGACATTCCCAAATAAAAGCCACAAACAAGCATAGAAATGTTTTAAATTGTACATTTTTATTATTGTTATTTAATTTGTTCTGTATGTTTTGGGGGGAAGGGTGGGTGGGCGAAGGAGGGATGGGATTCAATTTGATTTATTGTTTTGAAGTTTTGTATTGTTGTACGCCGCCCCGATTGCTTGGCAGAGGGGCGGGATATAAATAAAAATTATTATTATTATTATTATTAAATGTAAAAACCCATACTTCTTAGACCTGCTCAGAATGGAAGACATGACCCAGTAAAAGCCAAAAACAAGCACAGAAGTGTAAATCCGTGATTCTTAGTCCTGCTCAACGTGGAGGACATTTTGGAATTCCTCCTGGACAGAAGGTTAAAATGTAGGACATGTCCAGGGTGACCGGATGTCATCACCGCCAAGGAGGAGAGGGCACCGTAAAATGTAGGACATTCAAGATAAATGTAGGGTGTTACAAACCAAAAATTGAAAGCACTCGGAAATATAAATGCATGCTTCTCAGTCATGATCTAAATGGAGGACATTTTGGAGTTCCTCCTGGTCAGAAGGCTGAAATGGAGGACGGGTCCAGTGTAACCAGATGTCCCAACCGTAAAGGAGGACAGGGCCCCGTAAACTGTAGGGCATTCAAGGAAAATGTAGGGCATGACAAAACAAAAGCTAAAAACACTCATATAAGTGTAAAT